AGGGTAGGTAGCGTAATAGGTTTAGTAGTAGCCCTATAAGTAGCTAGAATTTTAAGTATACCACGTATCCTATTAATTAAACTAGGACTATTTTAGTTCTAGTTCTCCTCTTAGATCCTAAAGGGCGTCTCTTTATAAGATATTATAGGTAACTAGAGTAGATAGCACTTGCTAGTAAAGTTATACTAGAATTAGAGGAGCAGGGTTATAGGTTAGAGGATATTTCTCTAGCTAGATTAGTTAAGATTTATCTATATTAATTAGGATTTAGAACTATTTTAGCTAGTATTATCTAATAATATAATCCTAAGAACCTAAGTCTACTATTATAAAGGGGCAGTTATAAACCTTTTAGCTACTAACTATTATATAAAGCTAAATATAGTAAGTAACTAAGGAGGTAATCTAATCCTAGAACCCTTTAATAGTAAGCTTATATAGTAGCTTTTAGATTAGTACTCTAAGTATAGAAGAGATATTATAAGTAATTTTTAAATTAAGAAATAAGTAACCTTAGGCCCTAGTATCTACTAAAGCGTTTAGGTAAACACTAGATCTATTAAGGTATAGGGTTATATATATAAGTAAATAGGAACTAATAAATAATTTAGTTAAGGAAAGGTTTAATAGGTTATATTAAGTTAGGCCTAGGAAGGAGGATCCTCTTAGGTGTTGTTATTTCCTATCTAATAGCTATCTAAATTAGTTAATTTAGTAGTTTCTTCTTCCTTAGAATTCTTAATAACCTATTCTATATCTATAGCCTAAATCCTAGGGGGTTTAGGGTAGTTACTAGAGAAGTGCCTAGGCTTTCTATAATTATAGCAAGTTACTAGGGTTCCTATTATAGTAGCGCTAGGAGTAGCTAGCGTAGTAGATAGGGGTTAATTATTTTAAGAGGTAGTGCCTTATTATTATAAGTAGGGTATATAAGGTTTAGCTATTAAAGGTCTATTATAGGGTTTCTAATTAGCGTCTAAATAGGACTAGTTTCTAGAGTATTAGAAGGGGGTTAGTCCTTTTCTAGATAATAGAGTAGTCTAGGTAAGAGTAGATAAGGTAGGGTATAGGTAGTGTTCTATATTAAAAGCAGTAAGATAATCTACTATAGTCTTAAAATTATTGTGCTAATTCTATTAGAAAGCAAGGTTTAGTATCCTTAGGGAAGGTGTAATCTTTATCTAGAGGTAGTAATACTACTCTAATTAGGGTACTTCTCCTCTAATAGCAAGACTCTAGAATTATAACTTAAAAGCAGGGAATATCTCTATATTAGTTATATATAGGTAGTTAAATATAGTCTAACTCTTAGCTATCTTATTTCTAGTAATAAAGTAAGTTTAAAGGAGGGTAATTATTTCCTTAGCTTTTTAGAATTAAAGACTTAGGGAATTAGATAGGTAATATAGCTCTAAGTATTCCCTTGCTAATCCTAAGTAGTATCCCTAGACTAACGCTATCTAAACTCTAGAAGAGGGGTAGTAATTAGTATTAATCTCTAGCCTATCCTAAATAGATGCTTGCTATTATCTAAAAGTAGGATTAGCACTATTACTAAGTATAGAGATATTTAGTATCTTTTTAGATTATCTCTTAGCTTTTATAGTATATACTATAGGATTTAATATAAAAGCTAAAGACTAGCTAGGTTAGGTAGTACCCTATATCTCCTTATAGAGGGAGGTGTTGTATAACTAATTAGTAAGTTACTTAACTTATTCCTCTAACCTCTCCTTTTTAGATAAGGTTAATATATATTTATCTTTAAAGGAGGTGTTACTTTAAGATTTCCTAGGAGCACAAGGTACCTTAAGGGATAGATAGGAAGTAGGTCCTTCTAGGAGGGCGTTATTAATTAAGTCTTCCTTATCTAATTTCTTTCTATTAGTAAATAGGCTTTTAAAAGCAGCTAAACTAGATACCCTTCCTTTACCTTTATCTAATATTTTGTAGTTAATAAGAATAATAAATCTTTTCTTTTTAGGGGGTTTAGTTATAGGAGGATATTAGCTTTGCCTCTAATTCCTCTAGGCTTTTAGTAGTCTCTAGGTCTCTACCTTAACGCAATCTAACGCGATTTTTCTAAAGGTAATCTAGCACCACCTATAGGTCTAGAAGTCCAAGCCTATAGGCTTTAGTTATTAGAAGTTCTAATAGCTATTCTAACTATAGAGTTACAGGGTTAGATAGCTACTAGAACTAAATTAGTAGCTTAAAATAATAATAAGTGCGATATTCTTAAATACTATTACTAGCTAGGATAATATTCTTCTTATAATATAACAACTTAGGTAGGTAGGGCATCTAAAAGGTATCTTATATAACTTAAAGGCATATAGGAGTGCGCGTCTGTATAGAAAAGGATAAGATTCCTACACCTATAGGTCTTGTATAAAAGGATAAGAAGAACATACCTATCCTAACTATAGGCGAGCTATTCTCTATATACATCAGTGAGTCAGGCCTTTATTAGGCCTGACTTGGCATAGAACAATAGGCAGGCAATTCTGCCTTATTGTTACAGATACCTATAAAAAGGCGTGGAGGGCTTACCTCTCCTTTAAGATACTAAATACTATTATCAACGCTTATTGTATTCTCCCTTGAGGCTAGTCTATAACACTAATAGTACTGCTCTTACCTCTACTCTTATTTATTAGTCTTAATCTAGAGCTCTATAAAATACCTAGTTATAAGATTTTAACCTATTATAATACTAAGCTTTCTTTATAGGATTACTAAGTAGGTAGATAAGCTACACCCTAGGGGTATCCTAGCTTAAGGAGGTGTTTAATTATAAGATAAAAGCTAAAGCTTATACTTTATACTAGCTCCTTATCCTTAATAGCTATAGATCTTATATAATAATAGAGTTTATTAAGTACTATAATAAATATAAGATCCTACTTATAATATATCCCCCTTATAGCACTTACACCCTTTAGCTACTTAATATTATAGTATTTACTCCCTTTATAGCTTTATATAAAGCTTAACTATCTAGTTTTCTAGATAGCTCCTAAGGGCTTATAAGTATTACTAAGAGGGATTTCTACTAGTTATTTAATACTATATAGAGGAATACCTTTAAGGAAAAGCTAATATTAATAGCTTTTAAAGTAATAGGTATCTTACTACTTAACCCTAATATTATCCTTTTAAGGTTTAAAGCACCTATAAATAATAGTAACTAGCCTTCTTTAAGTAATAGTATAACCTTAATATTAAGTATAAGTAATTAGAGAAAGATAGAGTAGTTACTCTATAATACTATAATTAATATCTATAATAAATAGTTAAAGAAGCTTAGCTAGATAATCTATACTATATTAGTAAGAAATACTTTACTTAACTATAAAAATAAATACCTAAGGGCTACCCTAGCTAATAAGAAGAAGCGTAGGAAGTATAGTAAACCTCTATTATTACCCCTTAATAATAATTATAGTAGTAGTGCCTAATTTATTTTACTATTAAAGGTAAAGCAAGTGTTTAAGCTCTAAGAGTAAAAGAACCTTAAAGAATAGGAGCTATAACACTAAAAAAGCAAGGTAATTAAGCTTTATAAGTAATAGAAGCTTACTAAAGCTTAACTTATAGAAGAGTATTACCTAAATTAAGTAATTACTAAGAAAGAGTAGGAGGAGAAAGCTACTTAAAAAGCTACTATATATAATAAGTAGAAAACTACTAAGTAACTAGAAAAGTAACTCTAAAATAATATTAAAATATCCTAAATAGGTAAGAGGTAAATTCTTAAGCCTCCTACTATTATACTAGCTAAGGTGGTTAATAAGGAGCTAGTAGAAGAGGATATAGTAGTAGAGGCAACTTTATAGCATAGGCGCCTAATTAGACCCCCTAAAAAGCTGCTTATATAATCTAAAATATTTAATCTACTCTAATAGATCTAATAATCGCGACTCTAAGAAGTCTCGTGATAATAGCTATTGTGGGTGGCGCAATATCCTCATTTAGTGGGTGGTGGATTTTGGTGTTGGTGGGCGCTCGGTGGGGGTGGGCGCTCGGTGGTGGATCAAAAGTGCTCCCCTGTGGGGTGTGATCCCGACAAATCTTGGTTATAACTTAAACAAATTTAGCTACTGAGTTTGTTGTGCCTATTGGGAGGGTACATTGCCTCACGAGTCCTGGAGCTGAGCTTTTATATTAGACTACCTAAGGATAGCAATCTACATGTAGTCTACTACTACTAGATGCATTGCAACCTACTTGTAACACCATACGTCGCTCTGGCGAATAGGTTGGCCCGAAGGGGCCTACCTTGATATCTGTCCCCACCAACTATGTGGCGATTTCCATAGTCAACAGCACTACCCTCTTCAACGCCGCGGATTGGTGCAAGTTCGCGTTGTCTAGTACTATTAGTATACCTATGTGATAAAGGGTTGCGATAAACTTACTGCCACTCTTCAGCCGTTGCCATCTGCAGCTCATCCTTTGTAAGACTATCGACGAACTTCTGCCAACTGTCTCTGGCCTCTTTGTTCTCAAAATTGTTACTCGTACCGGTACCGGTAAGGTTGACTAATCCATCCTGGCACTGGTAGATCTTGCGCATTGTCTTCTCGAGGACCCCACCAGAACCCCACACTCGAGTTATTGCACGGCTTTTGGGTAATTTGTTGCCAGAGCTTGCCTTAGTATGTTGTACCGTTACCTTCTCGATAGACTTCTGATAGCTCTTGATCGCAGTCTGCTGGTCAATATTAGTCCACTTTTCATGGACGATGTCCACCGGTAGAGAAAGTATGGTCTGCTTGACTAGGCTCTGAACTAGCAACAGCTTCCCAAACTGTTAATTCGCAGTGAGGAGCTCTCCAGATGACTCGTGGCATCAGAAGAAATATTTGGTAGAGCTGCATAATAAAGTTCTTCCAAGTTCAACCTATGTATATAATTTATATTGATCTCTTCAAGACTCTCCAAGATTTGTGCACCAAATTCCATATTTACAAATGCAGCATATACGACCACCAAGTATGACGAGCGAGACCACGTTGAACACAGTTTCCCCCCACGACGATTCTGGCAGTGACCTGGGCGATGAGCAGCAGTTGCATACCATTCCTTCCTACCATCCAGAATGGTTTAGCACAAGCGAGTGGCAGCAATACGACTGCGAGACAGCTTCAAGGATGGTGACAGATTCACACGATGGACAGTCTAAGGGCCAGAACATCGGTGAAGATTTGACGAAGAGCCAACAGTGGAGAATATTGTTATCAGCATCGCTTGTTGCCTTCACCGTCATAGGTATGCACTCTGTTCTTGCGCACATCTTCTTTACTGCACAATCATCTGATCGAGAGCAGGACTCACGCAATCGTTCGGTGTCTTTCAGGCACATTATGGCCATTCCGGGGCAGTGGACTCGGGGATGTTGCGTCCACAGGACTTGACTCAACGCGCACTCCTTTCTTCGATCGGGTCTCTCGGCAACGGAGGTGTTGTTGCTATCTTCGCTGTCTTATACTATCCATACCTGCCTCTCATTGGTAAGAGCATCAAAGTGGTGTGCTTCATCGGCACTGTCTTGGTAGCCCTTGGATATGGTACCGCATCTTTGAGTCATTATGTAAACTTACGTCAAAGTTCCATTGCTCGAGCTCTCACTGACTTTGACGCAGGTTTGGACCCTAGTAGGCTGTCAGGGTCTGCTCGTTGGCGTTGGAACAGGCCTTTTGATCAACATCCTCGCGCCCATTCTTCCCGAGTATTTCTCAACTCGAAGTGGTTTGGCGCAAGGGACCATGTATGCTTGTAAGTACCCTTGGACACCATGACGAGACCCTGCTTATGAAATTAGCTGCTGCCTTGGGTGGCACGGTGTGGTCTTTGGCTTTGACAGTCATGCTTGAGAAGAAAGATATCGGCATTAGGACTACACTGCGAATCTTAGCTGGAGTAAGTGGGTGCCTGCTCGGTCTCGCCAGCTGGCTCGCTCTCCCTCCTCGGAAATACGAAAAGCGTAGCATGAAAATCATCCGCTTCCACACTTTCAAGGACCCTCTGTTCTCCTTTTTGGCCGTTGTCAACTTGATCCATCCAATGACGCTGGCAATCCCCATGGCCTTTGGACCCGAGTTTGCAGAGGCGCTCGGTGTCCGTCTCACCGAAGCATCGTGGCTATTAGCTCTCAACAGCGGTGTCGGAATTCCCGCGCGGTTCTTTGCTGGTCTGCTTGCCGACAAGATCGGGTACCAGAATATGTTGACGATTGCCACGGCAGTTTATGCGTTGGCGACATGGGCACTCTGGCTTCCCTCGGCCCTCCTAAAGAACAAAGACGTATACATCGCTATGCTTGTCTGCCACGGGATTGTCAATGGGGTGTTCAACACTGTTTGCAACTCGGCACAGAAGCAGCTATTTGGCGACGAAATGTACTTTCCCATCAATGGTGCGATGACGACGATTCGAGGATTTGGATATGTCTTTGGCGTGCCTATTGCCGGAGCGTTGATTAAGAGGGTAGCAGACGACGAGTTGAAAGGCGGTGATTTCTTCCGGCCGATCATCTATACAGGCGGACTCTTGTCTTTGTCCATTGTCTGCCTCGTGGTTATTCGTGTAAAGGACGGACAAAAGAGCGGGTGGAAGCTGGCGCGGTGAAGGCCCATCACATCAGTAGGGCATCGTGGAGGGGGCTGGCCTGTTTGCGATCGATGTAAGCTGCGGGTGTAGATTAAATTAGGTACCATTACTGTATTCCCTGTCATTGCAACCATTGAGGCTTAGGTACTGTCCTGGATATTTATCATTTTTGGACATGAGGCGCTGATGCTCCAGACGAGGCCTGAGGAGGCGTATGTAGGTACTTGATACTAGGTAGCCTATATATATATATATATGTATACATGTGCCTAGCCGTAAGATCTCGATGGTGAATCTGATACCATCTAGATGTGTGATGTGTAGTGCAGCAGGCGATGAGGTGAAACAGCCGAGAGATCCGAAGCATGGATGATGGGCGCCCTCAGCTTGCATCATCATCCCGAGGTCATCATCATGGGGGCTGGCTCGTGAACCAGCGGGGAGGTGCCGGTTGTTGCATGATGCTGTGTCTGCGTGGGTGGGTCACGGTGGCTACTACACCTACTCCTACCTACCTACCTACCTACCTACCTACTGCCGGTAGCCATCGTCCTTCCTTTGTGACGATGCATGGTGTGATGAGATTTGGCGAGGCTTCTTCTTGTTGTCTCCAAGCCGTGACTGGCCCGGCCGTTCTCGCGGCTCCCTGGCAGCTCCCTGCCCAGGTGGGCGACCTGGCCCAAGTGTTGATCGTCGCCTTCTTTGGGTCTTGGGGGGTTGAACTTTGCAGACCGCCCGCTGCATGCACGCTGCGGGAAACACAAAAGCGGCCTCGCTACGCTGGACCCATTCACTCCCGCCATGCACGTTCTCGCCGAGCGTCTAACCAAGCTGTACTGTGTACCTGCCTGCCTACTCTACCGTACGTGTGCTTCTTTTTGGTTTGCAGTTTGACATGGGATGGCATTGCTGGCCCTGAGCAGCGCCCTTCAAGCGTCTCCCCTCCTCGTACCCTACCCTACCCTACCTATTCCTCTTGACCTTGACCTTGACCTTTACTCGTACACAGGACGAGTCGAACCTAGGTACACGACGCTGCTGCCACAACGAGGGACTCCCATGTCACCTGGATTCCAGCTTCCTCTACTAATCTGTTTACAGTCGCGTGCCCTGATTCCCTCACCAACCACGCGCATTCCTTTCACGACCGGCAGGCGCATCTCCCATCATCCCATGACGTCCCCTGGACATGTCTGCTAGATATCGACCTATTCCTCCACCATTGACCTGGAGGAAGCGATGTCGCTTACTCCCTCCAACCCCAGGATGATGAGCCCTGCCATGGGCGCCATCAAGCTCAACCCTTCACCCTCGCCCTACCCCAAGAACACGGCTGTGCGCTCGCCCACAAAGACCAATCGCACGGAAGCAAACCTCGCCCTCCGCCAGGTCATTGGCACTACCACCTGTACTGCCAATGCCTTTGACAGTCTGGCCGACGGCCGTTGCTTTGCCTACACAGCCGGCGCCGCCGCTGTCATGGCCTCGATAGCCCAAGACCACTCTGTCTCCCAGCGCTTCTACCGTGCTCGCCCGACTACCAATCCTATCAATCCCTCGGCGTCCATATATGGCGGCCCCTCCACACCCACCCAGAATGAGAGCCGCAACCGGACCGTGGCCTCTTTAAGGGACACTGGCTTTGGTGTCTCGCCTGTCGCCTGTCCCGCCACCAATGACTGGCCAGACTCGCCCAGTAGCAGGGCGTGGACTACCAAGGAGAAGATCAAGTCAGCGACCTGTGTCAGCTTCAGTCCAGATGGCAAGTTTCTTGCCGTGGGAGAAGTATGTGCACACTGCCCTCTCGCCCTATGCAACGGCTGACGTGAAGTAGACTGGACACAAACCACGAGTCCTGATCTTCTCCACCGCAGAAGATGCGCCCTCCGACACGCCCTTGTCTTCACTCGCAGATCATACATTTGGCGTCAACTGCGTTGCCTTCAGCCCAGACTCCCGCTACCTCGCCAGCCTAGGCTCTGCGAATGATGGCTTTCTCCATGTGTGGAGCATCAACTCGCGCACGGGTGCAGCAACACTGTTTGCAAGCAACAAATGCGTCAGCCACATCAACCGAATGGCATGGATGGGAACAAAGTTGATCACTGTGGGCACCCGCCATGTCAAAGTCTGGAGGCTGGAAGAGCAAGCTGGCTCGGTACGCATGAAGCCGCGCCAGAGCGACATGTCCTTCTTGTCGAGCGCCATGCACAAGACGCTGCCTGGCCGAAACTGTATCCTAGAGGGTCTGAAGGATGCTACCTTTACAAGTGTCGTGGCCATTGCAACAAATCGGGCCATTGTAGCTTCAGACAGGGGCGAGATATGTTTACTCGACGATTCAGGATCAGAGTGTCGCTTTTCCAAGCTGACGGACGCTGGGTTTCCTGTCAGCTCCATGGCGGTCGATTTCAAGGGTCGCCTTCATATTGGTGGTAATCAGGGTGGACTGAAGACTTTGTTCATTGATGATATCTTCAAGGTCATGACTCCCCCGCCGTCTCCCCCACCTCGCATGGATTCTCCGATTGTAACAGCGATTGGCACCAACCAGATTGGAGCAGTAGGATGTCTGAACGATTACGTCATCACCGTCGACTCACAGCGTGCGATTCGTTTATCCCATCTATGTGCGGCGGATGACGAGGCTGTGGTCGGTGATATGCTACACATGTTGCCGGCCCACGGCGACGCTGTTCTCGGTGTGAACGCTGGGCTTTCGCAGTCGAACATCCTCAACGCATCATATTACACTTGGGCTGCTGATGGCACCATCATCTTCTGGAGCGAGGGCACGTCCACCGGATCGTTGCAAGTACCCCTTGAACAACTGGAAGGACCAGAGGCCGTTGTTAACGAGCTGAGAACTGCGCGCGTCCTTTCTGATGGCAGCTTTCTCGTCACAGGGGACAAATATGGCGTGTTGAGGTATGTTTGCATTTACAGGATGTCTGCAATAGCATTTTCAAGCGTCCCCTTTCTTCGAGTCGACGTACCGCGAACATGAACACAGCTGACCTGCAACAGAATTATCAACTGCGAGACGAATTGCAGTGCTTACGACTTCAAAGCCCACGCAAATGAGATTACAAGCATTGCCATCCATGAACAAGATGATTGTGTGCTCCTAGCATGTGCTGGTCGCGATCGTATGGTGCAGGTCTTCATACGCACGAACGAGACTTGGGACCTGATGCAGACACTCGACGAGCATGTCGGCGCAGTCAACGGAATCTCGTTCTCCAGGAATGGAGCACGCTTGGTTTCCTCATCGAGTGATCGTACTCTGGTTGTGCGTGAATTGATAACTCGCGTGCAACATGATCAAACCTTATATGCCTTTGTCATGCTACGCGCCATCATATTGAAATCGTCTCCAGTTTCCATGGCATGGGATGCTGACAATGATGATGCCCTGCTTGTCTCGACCATTGATCGTCAGGTGCACAAGTTTGACACACGCAACGGGCAATGCATGAGCAACTTCAAGGCCTGTGATACAGATGGAGGCGACGCCGTTGTCCTATCTTCCCTCATTCCTATTCCTCGTGGATGGGGCACCCCGCTAATAGCTGGAGTGTCAAGCACAGATAAGTCTATTAGAGTATACGATGACAATGGCTCGCTGGTCGCTCGCGATTGGGGACACACGGAAGGTGTCTCTGATATTGCCCTCGTGCAGGCAAGTACTGCTACAGAGGGTGAGCCGACTGAAAAGTCCATTGTGACTGTCGCGGTCGACGGAACCATCTTTGTATGGGGTCTGGCACTGCAACCGCCAACCAGGCACGATCTTTCAAAATCCATGGACCTACTCACTCCAAGCACGCCTGCTAATCCAGACTTGCTGGCCACTAAACCACCCCTGAGACGTGTATTCTCACAGTCAGAACTGGCACGATTTCAGCGCTCGCCCGAGGAAGGACAAACCACACCGACAGGGAGCAGGTCACCAAAGTTACGAAAGAAGATTTCCAAATTCGCACTTGCTCCGACACCTAAGCTCGACCCTTCGCCCCTGCAAAGCAATTCGAGGGAAAGCCGGGCCAGTAATTGGCAGGGGTATGCAACGGTTCGCAGGAATAAGAACCGTTCACCCTCACCGCCGAGCCCACGCCATCCTCCGCTTACAAAGCGGCGAGCCTCGATGGACGTGCGTGTTCGTGGCAAGGCACCCACGAATGACTTTGGCAGCATCGGATCCGCAACCGATAGTCTGTGCAGGACTCTCCGCGCCTATCGCAAACGTCTCGCAAACAGCAGCGACGCCATGAGCTCCGAGCACGCACGAGAAGTCGAGAGAGAGCTTGCGGCCACGGCCCGAGCCGTGGGCGAACGCGTAAAGTCCAAGGAATTCGACGAGACGGTCATGGTCAAGCTGCTGGACCAGTACTCTGAGCGGCTCGTCAATCTACTAGACGAAAAGATAGCCGCCAGCGTGGCCCAACGCGTCCGCGAGACCAGCGTCTTCTCCGATGGCGCCGATTCTCCCGTCCTCGATCAGCGGCCGGCCATTAGCAGGGCGAATAGCGCGTCTCCAGATCGCCTTCGTACAGAGAGTCCCGCGAGCGACGAGCCACTCGTGCACACGACGGAGAAGGTCGCAGTAGAGTGATCCAAGCCAGAAGTCTGTAAGGAGGGATAGATGGGCCCCCACTTACTTGATGTATATTTATTTTCTAACCCGGCGTTTTGCAGAGGCTGAGGAAGTCCTGTCTCATTTATTTACTCGATACCATGGGAAACAGGTGGGGGGGGAAAGGAGGGCAGGGGCAGGTACACGACCGCAATCATGTAGGGGCAGGCTAGGCCAGGATGGGGCGTTTTTTAACGCTGTTTTCTTTTCTTTTTACATGTGGACTGGAAGTGCGATGGAGGTATGGTGATGGCTTGGTATTGGCGTGGGTATTAATGTCTATTTGATTCGTACGGTGATGTGGCACGGAGGCAGTTTTTCGGTTATTTTTTTAAAGTTTTTTGTTTTTCCTACTTGGGCTTTGTTTCTTTTCTACGTTTTCTTTGCGTGTTGTTTTGTTTTTGTTTTTTGTTTTTTGTTTTTCTTGGGCATTTCCCTTGACGTCGGGAGAGAAGTCGCGGGAAGGAGGAGGGGAGGAGGGCGCGCGGGCGGGGGGAGGCGAGGACGGTTACAAGATCGCGTCCATCCCGCTCTTACTTTTTGTTCTTCTCTTTTTTTTTTCTTCCTGTTTTTTTCTTAAAAAAAAAAAGACACGGTTTGCACACGGTTTACTGTATTGTTACTGTATTGTTACTGTATGTCTGGTGTGTGTGGAAGGGTGTTGTAGAAGGAGGAGGAGGAGGAGGAGGAGAAGTACGAGTAGAAAGTAGAAAGTAGAGAGGAGTACTTGTAAAGCTAATTATAGGATATTATGATTATAGTTCCAAGTGTAACTATGACTATAAGCTCCCTTCCTTTCCTTTGCCTTCTTCTTCTTCTTCTTCTTCTTCTTCGAGTTATCAAAGTGATCAAAGTTTTTATAGTTGTTTACATTTAGAAAGGGAGGAGAGAGGGGCTTTTGTTAGTGGTGATAGTGACGGTGATAGTGATAGTAATAGGTACTCGCTCGTGGTAGTTGGCTTTGCGTAGATAGGCCCAAGTATGGATAACCCCTCCCCTGACACACCACACGCCACGTAGAAAACCCCCAAGCCTAGCCTGTATTTTCACTCAAAACAATGGTTATGAAATCGTATTGACATGCCTGACCTGGCATTACGATGAGATGTATTCTTCCTTCTCCTTATCTGCATCTAAATCTTCTCTCTTCTGCTTGAAGGCTACAGTATGTGCATGGGCTTTGTACACAAGACACTCGACACTCGACACTCGACACCGCGGTGATACCATCCCTGTGTACACTTCACCTCCAACTCTTGAGACTGCCTCCGACCCCCTCCCATCCAGATATCCAAGGGGAAATAAAAAGATCCAATCTCCTCCCAAAAAAAAAAGACTAGATCCCGGACTAAATCCCCAAGACAACCCAGCAAAGGGTTTAGAAAAAAGAGAAAAACGCCGAGACAATGCAAGATAAAAGATACCCTTTGAATGACCCCCTAAAAAAAAGCGACCGTTAAGATAAAGAGGGCTAGTTTGATTTCCCCACTCAAACAGAATGCCCCAGGAATTTCTAAGACATAAAAGAGACGAGACGAGACGAAAAACAAAAACTTTGTAAAAAAAAAAACTATGCATATCGCACACTCCCTCTATGATACATAGGCGGCGGCTGCGGCACCCCAGCCCCCACATTCCCATTCGGCGTCCACGAGCCCGGCGGCGCCCCATAGCCCGGCGCATGCTGAGGCGTCTGCTGCATGGAAAAGCCGCCGGCGCCATGAATGAGCGGGGAGCCCGCGCTGCCGCCCGGCCTACCTCTGTGGCCGCGCCCACGATGGGACGAGGGGGGAAAGGGTGGCGGCAACGAGGCAGCCGTGGCCGCGTATTTGCGAAGTTTGGAGCGGCGGCGGTAAGAGCGCCAGCAGCAGCCTAGGATGCAGAGGACGAGGAGGCCGCCGAGACCGGCGGCGAGGCCGATGACGAGGTTGAGGTGTTCGTCGATCCAGGATTTTATTTCGCCGCCTACGGAGCCGCCTCTGCATTGGCCCTTTTGTTGGTGGTTAGTGGCAATAGGAGGCAAGAAATAGCGATGTTACTTACATTTTCGCAAGTACCTCCACCAGAACAGGTTGTTCCGTCGAGGAAGTTTTGCTGGAGCCCATAACAGACGCCTCGGCCAAATTCGGGACTTGCACAGCTGAGCATGCAGTTGCTGTTGTCACAAGCATACGTGTCGTTGCCTTGGGTATAACTGCCCATGATGGTCTTGCATTGTTGATCCCTGCTCGTACATTGGCCACTGGCACAGCGCAGACCGTTGCCACAATCTGTGCCGTCGTCCGCAGTCTTGTCTTCGGGGCAGTATGGAGTATTTCCCGTACACGTCTCCTGGGGATCACAATCGCCCCTGCTGGGCCGGCAGACAGTGGTGGACGCGGCGAATTGGCAGTTGCGGCAACAGTCTTCGTTGGAGTCGTCGCAGACGGCGTTGTTGCGGAAGCGGCAGGTTGTGGGGTCGCAGCACGGGTTGTTACCGCATTGCTGTTCGCCGCCACAGTCACATTGCTCGTCGCCTTCTACTATGCCATTCCCGCAGCGTTGGCCGGTGACGGTGGTGACATCGCGGTTGTTGGTTAGACAGTTTGATTTGACGCTGTTGCGGCCGAGAGCGGAGCATATGTTTCCGATACTGCAGGCGGAGAAGCGGGTGATGCCGTTGGCCGTCGAGGGATTCATGATGAAGCCTTCGTTTGCATCGCATCTCGAGGAACTCAAGGGACAGCATTGCTGGGCATTGACCAGGTTCGAGTTGGCGCATTGGTCAGACGTGCAGTCGTGGACAGCGCCGTAGGTGTGGCCTGTTTCGTGAGCAATGACTTGCCATTCATTGTTTGTTCGGACGACGACATTGGCACCCGCCACGGTCTCTGCGCTATTGCCCGTGTTGCCTTGGGAGCCAGATGTACAGGCTTGGCCGAGCCAGGCGAGACCGACGGCGGATCCGGTGTTGCAGGTGGAGAGGAGGGTCCAGTGGGAGAATTGGTCCTTTTGCTGACCTCTCCAGGTGGAGAATTGGTTCAGACGGTCTTGGATGCTGATTTGGTCGCTGCAGCCCTGGTTCCACGGTGTGGCTTGCTGTGGCTGAGTCGGGCAGTCGGGTTCGGTGATGATGAGATTGGCGACGCCAAGAGAGATGTTGAAGGTGCTTTCGAACAGCTCAGAGGCTTGGTTCATGACGGCGATGATATTGGTCTGCGTCTGGTTCCTGTCGCCGTTGAAGGATTGGACATAGTTGCAATCCGCGGCCACACCTACGAGCGCAACTCGACGGGTCGTTGGGCATCCGCGTGTGCTACCAATAGACGACACCAAGTTCACACCAGCACCGTTTCCTCCCGGTTGGGTATCGAGTTGTCGCTTTCCAAAAAGGTTCGAGATGGGTGTGAAGCCGATGCTCTCCTCGCTCCGTGCGCGCATCCCGGCATACACGGGGTGGTCCTCGTGCGTGTTGAAGTTGAGCTCGTCGGCCAGACAGCCGGGTGCCGTCTCTCTCTTTCTCAGCTCCGAGTGCTCGTCCGGCCGAAGTGTGTCCGAGTCCCTGAAGACGACCATGTACTCATCCTCCCTCCACTCGACATCTGGGTCCTCTGGCAGGCGCGTGGCCCTGTAACTCGACGACAATTTGACGTGGTGGTGGTCGTGGTGGATCGTGAAATGGCCCTCAAACAGCGGTTCTAGCCCGTCGCGTTGTATGGAAATGCGCGCCCAGCCAACATTGTCCCAGCGATTGGCCCTCTTGATCCAGGCGGTGCCCTTGTAGATTTTGTGTTGCAGCCGGTCAATGGGCTCCTGGCGAGCGATGGACCCGTCTCGGTTCAGATGGGTGATGCTTCCGCCGTTGACAAAGATGTCGTGGTTGGGCTCGAGAGTGAGACGAATGCGCTGACCAGAGACATCGAAGGCAAGGTCAAAGGAGGATAGGGCGGTGACATGGTGTGTGGGCGTCAAGATGTCTGCATTCTTGGCAAGCGCAATGTGACTTAGGGGATCACGGCGACTCGACGAGGCTGCTGCGAGGGTGGCTGCCAGGGCGACGGTGAGCGAGGCAGCCACGCTCTTGACTATGCGCATGATTGCGCTTGCGGTTCTTTGTTGTGCTGTGTGCTGTGTGTTGTGTGTTGTGTGTTGCGTACTGTGTACTGTGCGTTTGTTATGTGTTGTGTCCTCTGTTCGGAGCGGATGTGGTGTGGCTCTTTGATGTGGCAACGCACTGGTGGTTGGTGGTTCCCTTGCACACTACCTACCACTGCCCAGCCACAAGGAGATGATGGGGATGCCCTGCCAACCAAAAAGGGTTGCTATGGTGGGAAGAATGTATGTATAGGTGTATATATGTATAGGTGTTTGTATGTATGGGTAGTAGTGGATGGCCAGAAAAGGTGAAAAAAGACAGGATGAACAAAACCAGGCCACTACGACGGCGACGACGAGGACGACGGCAAAACAGCAAAGGACATCGGGTGGGGCAGGCGAATGTGTAGCTGCTATGCAAGTAGACAGCCACAAGAGCGAAGACAACGAATGAGCAACAAGGTGACTATACAGAAAGAAGGCAAGGCAAGAAATGGCTTCAAGGGAGGGCGAAGGGGTCAAAGAGAGTCGTAATCGTCGTAATCCTACACAGCCCCCCTGCTCTCCACTGGCCCTTGGCAGTCGGAAGACGGATGTTTAGACGCAACTGGGGGCCTGGGCGCAACGCGACTGAAACCATCCTGGCGCCAACCACCATGGCCTTTGTCTGTTCCGAGGGTGTCGAGTGCGAGGTGGAAACTGTGAAAATGGGCTCGTCAACGAAGCGGTGGGTGAATGTAGTCTACTGTGCAGATGGAGTGCATTGTGGTACATGGCTACCAGGCATGTGGCGTAGAGTGGCGGCTCCCTCGACTTGGAACTGCTGCGCCGTGTGTTGAATCGTTCAGGGTGGTTGATTACATAACAGTCATTCGTGGTTAAAGATAGATGTGTGTCCAATTAGTGTGTCACGATAATACTGCCACGACGACCCATCGGCCATACAGAAGCGCGACTAACCACGTCTCACGGTCATAGACTCATACAACAGTCCTCATAGACGCTCGAATCCACCGGCCTGGCGCTTGTCAACAACACCCGCTACCCGCTACTCTCCCCTCCCCTCCAACACTCTGTGTGTACCTATAGTAGTATGTCTGGGTGTGTGACAACAGGCGTGGAGAAGCAGAAGCCCTGGCGCGGGCCGAGCCAAGAGGAGCTTGGCCTGCTTGCAAACATTCCGAGCCCTGTCCTGTCTACTATGCAAGCCCGCGCGCTGCACCTTCCTTTGCCTAAGCCTGAAGCCATCGCACCTGCCTGCCAGCCCCCCAAGGAATCCGCACAATCACCAGCAACCTCACCACCACTACAACCACAACAACAACACAACCACCACCAACCCAATTCAACACCAATCTAACAACCATGGCAACCCCATTCCCCATCATCGTGTTGCCAAGGGTGACCGGCTCGTCTCCTATCTCTTCTTGGATTGGTGCACAATTTCGATGATCTTGTCCACCACCGACGGATCCGAAAGCTACACAGAAAGCCGTTAGCCCGGGTCCACCCCGCCAGAGCGCGTCATCGTCATCGCCAGCACCACCAAGACGCGGAATCTGGCCCTAGATGAATGTCCACTCACCGTCGTAATGTCGCCCAACTGGTCCTCCTCTCCAGCCAAGATCTTGCGCATGATCCGCCGCATAATCTTGCCCGACCGCGTCTTGGGCAGGTCGGGAACCACAAAAATCGCCTTGGGCGCAGCAAAAGGTCCTATCGACTTGCGCACCTGCAAGATCAAGTCCTTCTTCACCTGCTCAGTCGACTCCGTCCCCTCCTTCAACGCTACGAATGCGTTGACCGCTTGGCCCGTCAACTCGTCGGCAATGCCCACCACTGCCGCCTCCGCCACTTGATCTACGTCACCGTTCAGCAAGCTACCCTAAACCTACACAGGATCCCCTCTTGAAAACGAAGATGAAATAACAAAAAGGAAACAAGCAAAAACACTTACGGTGCTCAATCAGCGCTGCTTCAATCTCAGCAGTCGACAGTCGGTGTCCAGACACATTCACCACATCGTCGACACGTCCGCGGATCCAGTAGTAGCCTTCGTGGTCACGCCCAGCTCCGTCTCCAGTGAACTGCTCCTGTTAGACCTTTTTTTCCGTCAGTCTGGCATTGTCTACTCACATAATATCCCTTGTACACGTTCAGGTACGTGTCCATGTATCGCTGGTGTGCTCCCCAGACTGTGCGGGCCATGCTTGGCCATGGCTGTTTAAACGCCAACACCCCTTCCACGTCGTTACCGTGAATCTCCTCACCCGAGACTGGGTCGATAATCGCAGGCTCGATACCAAAGAATGGGAGAGATGCAGATCCGGGCTTTGTGGGCGTAACACCGCCGAGTGGGGTAATGACATGAGAACCAGTCTCTGTTTGCCAGTAAGTCTACCCAGTGGTCAGCATATTCTCACACGGGAACAGCAGCACTGCACAACTCACATCTACCACGTGTGCTTCACTTTTTCCCACAATTTCAAAGTACCACTTCCACACTTCAGCGGCGATGGGCTCGCCCACCGATCCGAGAATCCTCAGATTGCTCATCTTGTGCTTGATGTGCTCGTCACCGGCACGCTTGAGCAGTCGCAGCGCCGTGGGGGCAACGTAGAACTGGCTGACATTGTACTTGTCGACAATGTCCCAGTAGCGCGAGAAGTTGGGGTAGGCTGGTGTGCCCTCGAAGACGACGGTACCTACACCGAGCAGGAGAGGGGCATATACGACGTATGTGTGGCCAGTGATCCAGCCGACATCACCTCCGCAGAAGAAGGTATCGTTGTCGTGAATGTCAAAAACGTATTTTCCCGTCGCTGCGGCTCCGATGAGGTAGCCTCCAGTCGTGTGCATGACACCCTTGGGCTTTCCCGTCGAGCCAGAGGTGTAGAGCAAGAAGAGAGGATCTTCCGAGTTCATTGGCTCGGGCGCAATGTAGTTGGGGTATTTCTCCACCTCCTCGTGCCACCACCAATCGCGGCCCTTTGTCCATGGGATGTCGGCCCCAGTGCGCTTGTAGACCAAGCAGTGGCTGATGCCGGGACATTGCTTCAGAGCCTCGTCGACAATCTTCTTGGTACTGATAACCTTGCCGCCACGCTTGCCCTCGTCGGTGGTGATGACCACCTTGCACTCGGCATCGATGATGCGGTCACGTAGCGAATCAGACGAGAAGCCAGCAAAAACTACAGAGTGAATAGCACCAATCCGAGAGCAGGCCAAGAATGAAACGACAGCCTCGGGGATCATGGGCAGGTAGATGGCGACAACATCGCCCTTTCTCACGCCCATCTCCTTGAGCGTGTAAGCCAGCTTGGACACCTGGCGGAGAAGCTCGCCATAGGTGATGACGCGACTGTCGGCCTCATCATCAGCCTCGTACAGGATAGCAGGCTTGTTTGGGTCCTTGAACGCGTGACGATCGACGCAATTGTAGCTGGCATTCAGCCTGCCCTCCAAGAACCAAGCATTGTCTCCATTCTCGAAGCTGCCAGCATGCACAGTCTGGAAATCGCGTTCCCAGGTGAGCAGTTCGCGGGCTAGTTTGCCCCAGAAGGCCTTTGGATCGGTGATGGACTGCTTGTACAGCGTCTGGTACTCTTCGAGGTTGGCAAGATGCGGTTTCGAGTGAGGGTGCTTGCTGTAGTAGGCGAGCCAAAGTCAGCGAATGTAATGCTTCTGATTTGTATTTGGCTTTTCCATGCTCGTGGGGTGATGTAATGATGCATTTGACAGGGAGAAGGGCTCGGCATGGATGGCGGGGTCACCCCGCTTCCCCTCCCCCTCCTTGACGCCACACTCTTCCAGCTTCTGGGTGACGCCGCAGCTGGCATTGCAGTCAAACTTGGAGGAGGGTGGTTTTGTGTCTGTGCAGGACTGGACAATGAAGAAAAGAAGAAGAAAAGAATGAATGAAAGAAAGAAAGGGAAAAAACTCACTCGTAAAACGCCTTGGGGACGTGAAAAGTATCCACCTCGTGTGCCTCTGCCACAACAGGCACCTGCGGCTTCGTACTACCCTCTGACATTCTTTCTTTCTTTCTCTCTCTCTCTCTTTCTCTCTCTCTCTCTTCCTCCCACAGAAGACTGCGATAAAAAATCAAACGTTTGCGCTTGGGTGTTGTTATCGCTTGTACTGCAGTCTCCTTTCTTTCTCTGACAGGAGAAGCGACGAATAGGGATCCAAGCAGTTGGGAAAAGAAAAAGTACGTAGGGTCGTTTGTTTGGTGTGTGAGTGTGGGGGAAAGGGGGGGGGAATCAAAGCGCGCGAAAGAAGAACCTCGGCGTACCTATGGCCAAGGCTTGTTGGTTGCGATTCGGGCGAAGGGGGGGAGGGATGTCGCGGGCGGGGTGTTGTTCCGGCGACGAATTAGACCGGAGGGGTGAGATTCTTAGAGCGTGTTGGTCTTGTTTTTTTTTGAGGGGGAGGGGGGGGGGGTTCAACTGGATAAATTCGTTGTCGTGCTCGGAGTTGGATGGCTGCGGGGGAGAAGGATGGTTTTGCCAATACCGTCTGTGTGGGAGGTTGGGTATTTATATATATATATATATATATATGTGTGTGTGTGTGTGTGTGTATATGTGTGTGTGTGCGTGTATATATATGTATACACCGAAACCGCACCTCTACTTGGGCTCGCCGCGCGCTTTGCCGGGTAAAAGGGCTGGGCGGGACTGTTGCGTGAGTGGCTTGGTCTACCGCAGCCGGGGTGCCGAATGCGTGCTAGAGTGGGGTTTTTTCTTGTCTGTCTGGGTGCTGGGTTCGAGGGTGTGGGGTTTGGGCTTTTGGATGGGAGGGTTTGTGCGGGATCTGGGGGTGGGTGGGGGTGTGGATGTGTGGAGGTTGGGTGGGGGAATGGGTTGTGGTGGTGGTGGTGGATGTGAGATGATGTGATGGGTTTGGTATGTGATGGGTAGGATGGGTACGAGAGGGACGGAGCAAGAGGAGAAGGAGGAGAAGCAGAGGAAGAAGAAGAAGAAGAAGAAGAAGAAGAAGAAGAAAGAGTGCGAAGGAGAAGCAAGATTATGTACCATGTAATCCATCCACTTCCCAGAATTCAACCCAATGCAATCCTATCCCATCCCAATGGACAAACCGCTCAACCCATCTAACCAACTATCCCATTCCCATTCCCTCAACCCTACTCAGCCGACCACCATACCGTACCTCCTCAAGTACCCCTCGTGCCACCCAGCAATCCACACCCACACACGCCAACACGCGGGGCCATGAACCCATACAGTAGAGTAACCACAGCCATGACGAAAAACCATGCCGCTTCTTGTCTGGGAAAAGCTTCTTTGTTCGCAACACCGCGGCGCATACTTTAGGTCCATGGCATGGTAATGGGTGGGCCAGTCACAGCCCTCCGGTGTACCGGTTAGACGACTTGACGTTGCACTAATGCGGATGCCGATTTACCTGGGGCCAAAACCCCACCACCACTGACAACCAACGTGTGGCCCCCGGTTAACGGGTAGCGCCTCCTGCCCTCTCCGTTTCTCCGGATGCTTCCAGGTTTCCGCGATCCTCGGTCGTGGGTGGGAGGAGGATGGGATGGGATGGGATGGGATGGGATGGGATGGGATGGGATGGGCGGGTGCGGCTGTAGGTATATGTCTGTGTTGATGTGGGAGTGTGTAGGTCCCGTTTGTGGTTGATTGTCGAGGCCAGAGGTTGGAGTGGGTGGAGGCAATGTTCGATATGCATTCACCGTCCCAAGGCTCCTCATACATGAACTCGTCTGAACTAGCAGAAGAACGGAAATGCGCCCTTTGACGATACGGTATACAGTTTAGAAAGTCATCCTTGCCGCATACCCACCTATGATATGCTACCTATCATCACCATACAGCACACATTCCCTCGCAAGCAAAATTACCACTTCATGTTGCAAAACATGCAGGTCTGCTGCGTCTTGCTGGTTCGTGGTCTGGGGAAGTACTGTATGTATTCTACATAGGCCCCTGATGGTCCGAGGCTGCGGGGATTGTTTTTCGATAACGGTAGCAGTAATAGTAGCAGTAACAGTAGCAGTAATAGTAGCAGTAACAGTAGTAGTAATAGTAGTAGTAACAGTAGCAGTAACAGTAGCAGTAATAGTAGCAGTACTAACACCGCCTTTCCCCAACAAGCTCCAAAATACCAACACATCAAAGTATTCGAGAAACTCTGGTGACTACATGTGTCTTCTATCAAGCCTACATATTCGGAATTCCTATCCTACCTGGCGTTTCTCACTATTATATTAACAACCACGGTTTTGCCCATACTTGCAATGGTATAATATGGAATACCTAGTACCCAGATCCCTTCCAGCCATATTACCTACCCTACCCTACCGTCGACTAAGCTTTCACCAATCCCATATAATAGCCATAATGGCGCCCGCTCATGATCAAAAACGTACATACCAACTCAGCCATGACATCAGCTTACAGTACCATACAGCTCGCACTCACATGGAAGCACTACTCCCCCCCCCCCCCACCCCCGCCATCCCCAGCTTTTCCCGCCGTGGCAGCGATGGAGTCAGCGGTCAGCCCCGAGGACCTCACACACCAACACCCCGGTGATCTGTATTGATGTCGATGATTGGGGCCTTGGCGAAGCATTGGCTGACGTTTAGTGGGTAGCTTGGGTGTGGTTTGCACCTTGTGGGGATGAAGAGCCGGCCAATGGGGATGGTGATGGTGGGGAGGGGGAAATGTCCGGTGAAAGCTGTGGGAGCGGGGATTGCGGTGTGGAGAGTGTGGCGTTGTTGGAGCCGGGAAGGGGGGAATGGTGTTTAGTTCATGCAGCATGCGTGTGATTGGGATTGTGCTTATTTTCTTTTGTCGAGATGGTGATGAATGGTGGGGTGGGGAGTTCAAGTCAGCTAGTATGGTATGGAGACACAATGCAAGCTAACCATGGACAAATTCCCTGCCTTTATTATTACGTGAATATGAGAACGAACTGCATGTGCCATCTTATGCAGTCATCACCACCCCTTCCACAACAACAGCCTTTCCATCCTGCGACCCCGGCCCCTCCGTTCGTCTCACTAGATTCGGGCTGACCATAATGCCCCTCCTACCCGTTTCCTCCCATGCAAACTCGTATAGGAAGGGCTCGCCATACAGCCAGATGTTGAGTCGCAGTGCCATGTGGAGTAGCCCTGCGAGAGCTTCGTCTCTGTCGTGATTGCTGGCGGACGGGTTGGCCCAGGGGAAGAAGGTTAGTGAGAAGCGTTGAGCTGCTGCATGTACGTTGGCATCTATCAGTGGACCTCGATGAGATAGTGTGGTAGGCGGGGCGGCGTTGAAGAGGTAGACCAGGAGACGGCGGTGGAGGGTCCTTGCTGCTGAGACATTTGGATCTATTTGGAGCGGTAGTGTTAGTTTAATAGCTATCTCGTGTTTCACATCTTCACAAACAGTACACTTACCCACACTGTCACCGTCATCCTCTTGAGCATATATTCCACTCAGCTCGTCTGGGAATATCGTCTCGTCATTATCCTGACTTGGCGGTGCTGTACTCTGGAGCACGTAGGCCACAATCGCATGTTTCAATACTGTTATCGGGCTGGAACACTCTTGCAATAGTTCTGCCATGTTGACGCCTTTGGCTCCAAATTGCGCGAGATCGGCTTCCATGCTCGGTGTGATGATGGCGTGTACATCGCGGTAGTAGGTCTCGGTGTGACTGTGGCACTCACTGAAGAGCGCCATTGCCTTGTTAAACACTTTGGTTTCCGGGGCGATATCAGGCAAGAAGGCGGCCACACCCGTGTCATCAGGGTGCTGTGTAGATGGCGGAAAAGACGACGCAACCACGGCTGGTCTGGGTGTGGGTGTGGGTGTGGGTGTCTGTGAGACCTGAACATATGGACTATTTCTGCCTCCTGGTCTGGCGTTATTCCGTTGTGGTAGAATGACAAACTCGGGTGTAGAGTCGGCGTAACCGTTGTAGTCTTTGTTGGCGACGTTGCTTTCCCTTGCCCTATTTCGTCTTTTGAACAGGAAGAAGGTGACGACAAAGGCAACCATAGCCCCAGCTATCAGCGTTGCAATGGCAATACCAGCCACCGCACCCGAACTTAGTCCACTGTTCCCATCCTTCGGTCCTGCTCCCTCAGTTTGGAGAGAAGCGGCGGCAGTTGGCGATGGCTCGACAGTGACCACGAAAGTGGCAGACTGAGACAATGTCGGGTACGATGATAGAGAGATACTCAAGCCATTTGAACCAGTCATCTGCACATTGTCGCTATTAGGATGTTGGCTTTCCGTGGCTGACTGTTCCACCGCACCCGGAATACAGCTCCCCTCTACACATATCGAAGATGATACTCCAACAGTGGTGGGTTGTAAACTCAATGCACCGCTGGCAAGCAGCAGCCCGAGAGAATCCAGCGTCGTCATCAGTATCGACCAGAACGCCGGTCGAAAATAAAAAGAGCAAACAGCAAAGACCAAGAAAAATGCCCCCCAAAAGAAAACCACTCCGGGGGGCAAGTTTCTTAAAATAAGCCATCCTGCAGCTGCTGCGAACAAAGCACACAGAATTTCAGGTTGCCAACTCAGCCGCAGCCGTGCTGCATATCGTGGATCCTCTTTTTCATCGCTGCGCCTCGCACCCAAACGGCGTTGCAAACCACGGTCCTCCGCACACGCGTCCTTCCATTGCTCGCTCTGGGGCTTACTGTCGCACCTGCACCGAATCCAATAGACACTGAAATGCCGCACCGACCTAGCGCTGAAGATGAGATGTGGGGGATGTGTGGGTGAGCCGTTGTAAAGTGTGCATGCGAGGTTTGTATACCGGTATGCAGTGTGTGCGCTAGTGGAACTGGTTTGGGGTTTGAATGTGGGTTGCATGCTCATGTGGAAGCACACATGCGTTTTCTGTGTAGCGTTTGCGAATGATTGTCAAGTTTGAACCATGTGTTCGGGATCTTCATTCTCCCGGCCCAGACGATGTGGTGTCGTTTACTGGGAGAAACGGGGGTGGGGCGTGGAGCAAGGCATGCATCTATCTAACCTCTATGACGCACTATAACTACCGGGAGGTACCTATTTACAAGTCACTCATGGTTTGATGCAAGGCTAGCATGTAGGACTCCCCTCTCGCAACCAAGGAAGAAGTCAAGGCATCTGGCTACAGTGTATCTATCTTGGAAAAAAAGCCTAGACACTCACTCACAACTAAACCAGGAATACTATTACAAGCTCTACAAGTCGTCAAACGTTCCATCACACAACACACGCCATCAAGCCATCAAGCCATCACGCCAAACCCAGCTTTTCCTTGGAGAAAATTCTTACAGAAAAAAGACAATAAACATTCAATCTTCTGCTCTTAAAACAACCCCACTGTGCACCTACATATTCGCCCCCCTTTTTTCTTCATCAAAGAAAAGAGTAGAAGCACATCAAACCTCACAAGCGCCCACCTACCATCTTACCATCGCCGTTAGCAACCACCATTCTACCCTGTACCAAAAGAAAGCAAAAACAACAAATCAGTAAAGCCCGGCATGGGACAAGACGAGTTAGTTATATATTGCAAGTGTGTTTATGTGCATGGGTAATCTTGAATTTTGTTCAACAGGTACGCAAGAATTCGTGCCACGTCGGGCTAACAATGGCAAGGCTGCTAAGTCAGGCTTCTGCTTTACGTCGTTGTTCCCCACCCTCCCGCCTCCTCCTCAAAGGGAGTTCCTTTCTCCGCTTCCTTTCCCAACAGTAATGACAACAACAGTATACTTGCTTCTCTCTCCACAGCATAGCCAGCGACTAATGGGGAATACCATCGTACTCGCCATAGCCGAGGGCCAGGTTCATATTCTGCAGACACTGCGTCGCAGCACCCTTGAGCAAGTTGTCAATGGTTGCGTTGACAACGACGCGCTTGCCAGAGCTGTGCACGGCAAAGCCGCCGATTTCGACGCCGTGCTTGCCAGAAATATTCTTGACGAGCGGCGACTCACCGACAATCTTGACCAGCTTCTCGCCGGCATAGCGGTCTTGGTAGAGGTTGCGGATGTCGCGCGAGGTCATGGTGCGGTTGAGGGGGATGGAGATGGTGTGCTAAGTTGGCGTCAGCTTGATAATTCGGCCATCCAGTTGGGAATGCGGCGAGGGTTACTCACAGAGATACCTTGGAACCAGACGGCGACATGGGGAATGAAAGCAACTTCAATGCCCAGTTGCCGCGAAATCTCCTTCTCATGGATGTGATCCACTAGACTGTATGGAATCAGGTTGTCTGTGAGGTTCTTGACGTCGTTCTTCGGGCTCGGCTTGGTTCCAGCACCTGAGTAACCGGACACACCGAAGACAGTGGGCTGGCCACCAATGAAGTCTAGGAGAGGTGCAATTCCAAGCTGAGCAGCTGTGGCATAGCAGCCTGGGTTTGCTATCCGTGAAGTCTTGGCAAGCTTTCGGCGATCGACCGTCTCCGGCAGGCCATAGGTCCAACTGTCGTCGAATCGGTAATCAGCGCTCAAGTCCACGATAACGGCGTCTGGTTTGGCTGATTCGTTGATGGCATCGACAAAGGGCTTGCAGACACCATTAGGAAGGGCCATGACCCAGCAGTCGACTTCACCCTTATCTGCCATTCGCTTGACATCTTCGGGCGAGAGATTCTCGTAGGTAATGTTGCGCTTCGTGTAACCCTCGAGCTTCTTGCCGTTCAGCTCGCGTGAGGACACGTGCCGAAGATCCATGTTGGGGTGCTTATTTAGAAGTTCAATTAGAGCCTGCCCAGTGTATCCTCGAGCGCCAATCAAGGCGATCTTGGAAGGCCAGTCCTTGCTCTTGAACTTGACTCCATAGGGAGGGTTGGGGTTTGTGGTGTCGGACGACCGCGATGCCGTGGTTGCGAAACCACGAGATGATGTTGTGAGGCGTTGGCTCGTCCTATCCATAGTGTTAACAGGTTTTGCCAACCATCAGATAGTTGTAAGATTACATACCTTGCAGTTGGTCGGGCAGAAGAACCAAATGTGCGGGCGCCAGCCACGGTGGAATAACTGCGTGCTTGTTGGCCCTGCTTCAAGCTAGCAACAAAGTCTGCTGCTCTCCGGAACTGGGACTCGAGACTGTCCTTGAGAATACTGCGGCCTTCCTTTTGGTATTTCTCCAAAATGGCAAATATCTCCGAAGATTCCGCTGATCCCCACCAGCAAAAGATTTCTTTTTCACGGCGAAGGAAACCATCCGTCCTTTCCAAGTGGAACTTGACGTGGCTGGGCTCTTGGCTGTCTACAATCCAGTACATTTTGGGGTACTTTTGCTTCATGCGCTTGAAGACCAAGTCGCTCACATTGGTCAGGAATCCGTCCTTGGTCATGGTAAGGGTGGAGAGCTGCGCGAACTCGCCCTCGGCCGCTGGTGGATAGACAATGGCTACAACGCTCTTGGCGTCATCGTAGAAGGCTTCAAATGGCCGATTCTTGAGGTTCTGGACATATTTGGAGACCGCTTCAGCCGAGTCAGCGCCACGTTCTTTCGCAATCGCTTCTTGGATGGCCTTGGTGTCGAGTTCCTCGAATTTGCTGACTTCCTTGACGCTTCCGCCATTTCGAATCAGGGTACCACGCCCGGTGTGCGTAAAGAGCTCCTTTCCAAGGTCCTGGGGATGCGTGATGGCAACACTAGAGGTTCGCGGCAGTCCGTCCAAGAGTTTCTTTGCCTCGACAATCTTCAGCTTGGTGCCATAGCGGACCCAAGGCTGTTTCATGTAGTTGTCGTATTCAGCTTCCAGATTGATTTGCGAAATCAGCTTGCCCGTTTCCGAGTTGAACAGCCCCCCCTTCTCGGACAAGTAAATGACCTTCAAGGGCTGGAATTCGCGCGCCAGTGCTGCAGCGACCACGTCGGCGTTGACGTTGAGGATCTGGCCGTCCTCAGTCTCAGCCATGGAGCAGAGAATGGGCAGTTCCTTGTTCTCGAGCGCGTCCATGATGGCCCTTGTGTTGATCTTTGTGATTTTGCCCACGTACTTCCACTTGTCCTTGTCCAGATAGTCGGCCTGAAGCGCGCCGGCGGTGATGGGCCGCGAAGGGACGCCCCAGTTTCTCTTGAGCGTCATGACGAGGTCCATGTTGGCTTCGAGAAACAGCTTGCGAGCAATGCCGAGCGTCTTCTTGTCTGTGACGCGTATGCCATCGATGAAGTCAGGCTCCACGCCCGAGTCGAGGAGGGTCTGGTTCATCTGGGGCCCCGCGCCGTGGACGATGATGGGGTACAGGCCAATGGCGTGCAACTGCTGCAGGGCAAAGCATAGCTCCTCGAGGTGCTCTGTCAGGATGGCCCCTCCCACCTTGACGACGGCGAACTGGTGTGGTGAGACGGAACGGAACTGGCCAAGGTACTGGTCGACCTCGCGCCGTGAGCTGGCGCTGGCCAACAGGTTCAGGAAGGCGGCGTATATGGACGACTTGGTGCCATCGCTCGACGTCGCGTACTGACGGCCTGGGGTCGAGCTAGCGACGAGGGCTCGTGGGAGGGCTGGGAGGGCGCGGGAGGCTCCAGAGGCTCCAGAGGCGGCGAGGATTTGGCGGGACGATCGTGCTGCCACGCGAACACCAGCCCGTACGACGCCCTGCATTGCGGCGACACGTTTCAGAAGGGGGCTCGAGGAGCTGCAGACGTTTGGGCGGAGCAATTGGCGTGCGGGTGACGATATGCCTGCCTAGGTACCTCTATAGTGGGTATTTAAAAAAAGAAGTCGGGCGCGCAATAGGTAACGGGTACCGGTATGACGCTGGGCTAACTCGACAATTTTCGCTCGCCGATAACGGTTTCCCCCAGCCAGTTTGACCCCCCCAAGACCCTCCAAGGTTCATGCGGGACCGCGAGCTTGAGCCCTTTGAGCCCACTCCTTACCGCATTATTGGCCGGGGAAGATGTCTCTCCAGAAGAGGGAGAGGGAGAGAAAAAAAAAAATTCTACCGTGATAAGCTGCGGGTCCCCAACGTGAACTAGACTGTGTGTGCTCTTTGGTTGGACTGTAGAGTACCGGCGGACAGCTGAGTGACGTTGTTGTGTGCCACCAACACCTACCTAACATGGGACAGCAAGTTACCAACTACTACATATATGTGTACACCTAGGTAGATAGGGATATCAGAAACATCATTCTCACACATTCACACTCCCACAATGTACATGCTTGATACGATGCATGCATACTGCCGGCTGCTGTGGACACGAGCCATGTTGAAATCATGGTAGCCAGTCTCTCAACCAGATGGCCCATCACTAACCATCGTCGTGGCCCGATTTATCCAAGAGGCTGCGGACACTGCCCTGTGTATTACCGCCGAAAGCATCGCTATCTGCACAAGGCCCGACTTGTACGCGCTGCAACGGAGTCCCTTCTAACCACCGAGACTGGCTACCAGGACACAGCATCACAAGCCAACAAACATGTCTGTATCATCACGCATGGTTCGCCATGCTAAAAACAGTTAACATCATCATCATCATCATCAACACACTGCTGAATTGAGGATCGAGACTATCAACAAGAACGCACTGCCTCCGCAAGCAGCAGCCATCACACTACAAAAAACTCCATTTGATCGTCTATCGGTCGTGCTTGAGACTAGGCTCTCAAGGTAGTGTAGCGAAGAGGTGGCGGTTCCGTAAGAGGGGTACAGGACTGCTGCCATAGGCCGATCATAAGGATGCAGAGAAAACAAAACAAAACAAAAAGAGAATCCGGTCCATTGCTTTCCTGTCCGCCGTGGACTGAGATCCTGAACAGCGCAGTTCATCAGATACAGCGTAATTCGTAGCCACCTTACCATGCCGCATATGGCTATGCAACTCCATCCCCTGCAATTATTAATGTGCTATGTTTCGTGGTATCAGACGGGTAGGGATTTATTTGTTCTTCGTAGCCACCACTGCAACACGTCAGCGACTCAAACTCTGTGATTCCAGCAAGCGGTCCAACGCACCCGAAGGGACAATGATGACAATCAGCAGAATGATGATGCCAACAATCAGACACATGCGCATCTTCATGTCCTTCCACCACATCTGCTTGCGCACACGGTTGGCGCCTCTTCGGAAGCCTTGGGCAGACACGGCAAGGTTGTCAGTCTTGTCTTGCAGCGAGTCCAGGCGTGCTCCTCGCTCTGAGACCTTGTTGATGTTGTCGCGCATAATGCCCACGGTGCTGTCGATTTCCTGCCAAGCAAGTCAGTCTATGAGGTCATGCCAGGTTGCGTCGCAGCGTTCGTAGGAAGCTCGAGGTCGCTGCAGACTTTGGTGGCTGCCTGTTGGCCACGACGTTGCTGCGATTGTGCGCCAACAGGAAAAAAAAACGCAAAGGCTGCGAGATCTGGGTACTGCGCTAGAAGAGGATGGGACGTACCGCTTGGAGAGCTGCAGTGCGGTGGTTGCCATTCTGGCCCTGGGCGCCCTGCTGTCCACCGGCGCCGCCCGACGGGATGTACGGGTCGTAGGGGGGCTCCTCGCGAGAAGACATGTTTGGCGGGGACTGCGTAGGTTCGAGGTGGAGGGAATAGAGGCGACAGCGGCGGGGTTCGGAGAAGATATGTGGTTGGTATTGGTGTTGTGTGGAGCGAAGAGGGTGGGTGTGGGTTGTGGGTGTTGTGTGGGTGACGGAGGTGGTGTTGGTCGCGAGGTCCGCTCAGCCCGGATGGCGAACGAGCGTCGAATGTGTCAGCTTCGTTTGAGCTGCCCAAGGGCGCCGCGGCTGTCTGCGTGAAACCTGGTGCAACAACCGCACAAAGACTTCTCGCTGTGGATGTGTAAAAAATGGTTTCTTTTCTTTCTCTTTTTGCCGTGTTTTGATAAGAGACAATGGATTCGACGATTTAACAATTCAAAATAGTTCAGTATATATGACTGTGACGGCATACTCTACCATGATTCCAGCACTCTATTCTTCTAGCTCACGTGACAACGTTGTCTTTCCTTCCATGCAAGTGCCCAAGCAACGCCAGGTGCCTGCGCCACGACACGTGACCGACTCCGCCCCTTCCACTCACCTAAGCGTACGAGCGTTCCAAGGGTTACCCAGTTTGTACTATCTTATCCTTTTACTACCTATCTATGAAGTTACCATTGCCACGGATGTCGCAGGGGGGGGGGAGGGGGGGGGAGAGAGAGAGGGGGTGAGAATCTGGG